TTGCTAATCACTAAATGATAAGGCAAATTTTAAGTGTACCCCAGAGTGTTTATACCTGATTCTTCCCTAGCAGAATTTCAAGGCATTTACCTCCTGTTGGTTTGTACATTAATCCTCTTGAAAGCTGCCTGGCACTTGTCTAGAGCTGATTTAAGATGTCTTAAGCACTTTGTTTTACCCTGGCACAGTTATGAATTTCAAGCTGCCTAAAATGGGTACTGCGTCCTCTCCAGAGAGTGCTTAACTTTGGGGCTGTTTTTTATTTTGACAACCTGCAAAAGAAAAGCAGTCTTTAAGAGAAACACCCTCCATCTGAGGTTGTGTTGTGAACCAGAAATGGCACTGTTACATGTACAGAACAAAGTACATTTAACATGCCTTGTCTCACGGTGTACATTAGCTACTACAGTGGCTCTAATTAGCTCTGTCGGGGCAGTTGTATCACTTCGTGTCAGGCACGCAGTGCAGGTGGCATAACTAGGAGGTGAGTGTCCCTGTGTATCCCCTCTACAATGTGCACAGGATAGTAAGCAGCTCCCAAAAGGGCAATCCTGAGAATGTTACCAAAAGCAGAAAGCCCAAAGCAAGGAATAACACTGCTTAAATGACAGGCTGGAATCCAGAGGATTTATCCCAGACTCTTTTCTAGTAAGGTGGAGGAACATCTCAGGGATATAAACTTGGCAGTCCTGGAGCATCAAATGCGCAGCTCAAACTGGGTTCAAAACCTTAGTGTGGGTACAAAAAATGTCCACAGAACTTTTCAAACTGCCACTATATGAACCTCCTACACCAAGAAATACCTGCAAGGTGGGAATTTTAGACAGAAAAGCAGGAATCACTATTACACTGTAATTCATTAGTTCACTCAGTCTCTTCAGATTATAAAAAGAAGGCTGAAACACTCGATTGCAGTGCTTAAGCATCCTTACAAGAGGGAAACAAAGTATTGCAGGGTATTTTAATTTATCAGGGAAAGCACTGCCACAATCAAATAGCACATATAGTCAAATTAGAAATAATGATTTTTTTTTTTTTAGAATTAGCTTTTATAACACCAAAGTTATTAACCTATGAAATAAACTACCCAAAAAACGCAAAGGATCTGCCTGGTATCTTCAAATCAGAATTGGGTCACTTTCTGTCTGAAACTCCCATTTATGTTAAGACAGGAAGTTAAATCAAAGTATCTAACAATCCATTCTGGCATCAAAATCAGATGGATCCGTGAATTTTGAAAACATTCATTTTAGTTTACAGCTGAATGAGACAAAATAAACACAAATGAACATACAAGTTCTCTGAGAAGGGAGAGAAAACCATGACCAACAGTCTGTACCTGAACTGAAGTAAAACTGTAATTGCCAATTTCCCTTCATGTACATGACTGTATTCTGTGCATCACAGAACACAGTTTTTCAGTACACATATTTCAAGGAAAACTTTTCACCTGTGGTTTTGTTGTTACGGATTTTCTAGTGCTGGAATCCACCAAAACCTGCTTATCTTGATCCGCAAGCTCACAGCAAATAGCTTCTGATGTCTTCATTCAAAAATATTTTTAGCCATGGATGTTCTGCCACCAATAAATCAGAGTACATTTTGACAGACACTTGATTTTGTACATCTCAAGTACAGCCTACACCTTACATGGGTGGTTTTGTTGATATGCAATTGTAGGTGAATATAGCCTTGTGTCACCCCTAATAATTGCAAGGTTGGGGAAAAAACACGAATAGAACACTTCTATTAATAAAATGATGGAATAGTATTTTTTCCGCTTCATTTAGCATCTCTTAAGCTTCCAGTCATGTCTATTGCAAAGCAGCAGTGTGCTCCAGCTAAGCATCTGCATGCTGACCCAGCAGTCCAGTACTATGCACTTCACCTGACCGGCACCTCCTGAAGAGCTTGTAAACTAGAAAGTTTGACGTTTTGTTCCCAACAGTGTTAGCTGTTCTATGAAAGGATACTACCAGTCCTACAAACCCTGTCCTATTGAATATTAGTAATAGGGATTTCATAAATCACGTAACAAAACAGTCTACAAGCTGGCTCCACACTGCAGCTCACTTACTCTCTCATTTCTTGTTTAAACCAGCTAGGTAGTTAAAATAGAAAAAGGCACAAAATCAAGAAGATGGATTTGGACAGGAATGTTAACAGCTAGACCTTCACGTTGTTACAAACTCCAGGTTATTTACTTACAAAAGGTACTGTCAAAATTCACCTGATGCTAACTCATTTATTTAGAAACAAAGGGGCCAGCTCCAGTAGTACCTCTGCTATAACGAGGCAAGATGTAAAAACAAAAGCTATCACTGCAACCTTGTAAAGCAGATTTTCGGACTTTCTACAGTCACACTCACAGCAAAAGATGGGAATAGCTTAATTTCCTAAGCAAACACCCACTGCCACACTGGCCACCTTCGATCAACCTGATTTATATTCTCTCAAACCCACCCAGGTCTCTTTACTTATTCTTTAATTTCCTATCAAACAGCATAGGCTAGGGTTCTGTTCTTGTATGTTCATGTGACTACCTTTAAGCTACACACTGTTGTAAATGTGATCATTTCATTAAATTATGTAAATAGGACCTTAGCCAATGACTTGGGTATTATTTATGAATGAATCGTGCTGCTCTGGGTATATTTAACTCTCATCAGTTTGTTCAAAATAGCTACTAATGGGTTTCTTTAGCTCATTACTCGTGTAACAAAAAGCCAAAGAAATGACTGGCTTTGCATGGAAGGGCTTGGGTAACCCTTTCTATTACAACCCAGTGGCCAGCTTCTAAATACACTGCACTTCACAAGTGATTTCAAGGAAGTAGCAGGTTAACAGCTCAAGACAAAAAATGCAGGCTGCAGCTGGCATCAGGCCGTGAACAGCACTGGACCATTTCTGGAAACTATTTATCTTCACTTTCCTTTGAGTGAAATGAACACTATTAAAACTGGAATTCTGGAAAAACTGAAGGCTCTAAGCCCAAATTGAAAGTAGAAATATAAATAGGTTCAAATCCAGCAATGGTTTGTTAGAGGGAGAAGCTAAATATAAGGGCTTCAAAGGAAACATGTCACTCACTGTGGTATAGCTCCACTGGTTTTATGATTCAGAAATACTTTCCACGAGAAAGGTTCCATACTTGGAAGATTTTATTGCATAATTGGAGGATTTTATACGTGCAAAGTGCTGCTGAAGTTTTTATAGTATGTCATACGATCTGTTTTGCAGAAAAATGTTATTTTTCACTACCATAATCTATTGCTGGCTGGGCTCAACACCATCATACAGCTGCTGTTAAAATCATCCTCTTGGCTTTGACACTGAGGTTACATCATGCTCCTTTGTATCTCTGACTTTTTGCTGTACCACGCAAACCTTTATTGCTTGTAATCTCAGGTCAGTAAAAGTCTACCCTTCCACCCAGGAGTCAGCTGCAGGCTCAAGCTCACCTCCTTCAGAGGTGCCCTTGGTGGCTGTGCAAGCCAGCTGGCAGCTAGTCTGCTGAAGAGCCAGAACGAATATTCGTGTACTAAGAAATGCATGCCTTTCTGATTCCTTAGTTTTTCTACCTGTGGTGATCTTGTACAATCTAGATTTCAAGATCTCCGCATCAGGGACTTCCTTTTTCGTTCACAACAGTCTGCACAGATTAGAGTTTCCACCCATTTTCCTCATTGTCCGAGCAAACATACTGCGTTCTATCAACTGTTTGATTTGTTTGAAGTACTATTATGATTATTATTTGTTTGAAGTACTGTACGAAAAAAAACAAGCAATGTTGTTCAGATACAGAGATTAGCTTGCATGTCAGTTCACCAGTTGGGAGATCTTTGTTTTTAAATTCTTTCCCTGCACAAGTACCGGAAACGTGCCTATCTGAAAATATGCTGCAATATTTGCCCAAAGTTTGTTGTTTTAGCATGCCCGCCAGTTAGCATTTTGACTAGAATAACCATGGTAACAAATGCAGAAGGCTAACAAGCACAAATAGTTCAAAATTGTTTCAACTACCCTTGTCCTGGCCTGCTTCTTGTACGTGCATCAACAAATCCTTTAGGATAACCACAGCTGTTTAAATGATCTTGTTTCAGTAGTAGTAAATTAATGCTTCTTTCTTTCTGGTATTTAAAAGTGAGATGAGACCTCCTTGTAGGATTGAGAGGAGTATTTAGAGCTGTATTCCTCTCTGCTTCCCACCCCCTAGGATGCTGTGAATGCTGAAGAACAGAGGGAGGAGACACTGTGCGTAGATTCTGATACACCAAACTTAAGAAGTTGTTTTGGCCCTGAACACAGGAATGCAAAGCCTGTCTTATACTTTGTCCTTCATTAATTACTCGCAATAGATTTTTAAAAAAACTTCTGCTTAAGTTTCCGCTTGAAGTTTCACACAGATGGTTCTTGTAGAAGCTGAGGGTTTGACCTAATCTAATTTTGCATAAGACACAAGGCTGTCTTAACTCCATGTATACACTGGTACCTTAAGGGATGTATATGGATCTCATGAAATCTGTTAACAGAGAGATGTAGTAATTCACAACAGTCCAAGGCCAACCTGTGGCTTTTGAGCTGCGTGTGACTCAGTAGCCAGTCAAGTATGGCTCTTATACCAGGGCTGTATGACAGATGTTAATTACTTCAGATTTTTATCTGTAAAGGGAAATTATGAACCATTAGGGATTGCTGAGACCAGGATTGCCTTGTGGGATGCAGCTGTGTGCTCAGCCCCATCCCATCGCACAGTGGAGGAGTGGAATCCCCTCGAGTGCTATCAGTATGCTACAGCCAATGCAGCAATCCCACAGATTGTGTTCGCTCAGCTCTCTGAGGTAGGTAGATCTTGGCAAGCTAGTCTGATGCGTTAGCCAAACTGTGTGCTCCCTTAGAGTTCAGCTGTCTGGGCTATACAGATCTGACTGGCCCCTTGGATTCATGCAATTAAAGCACAGCAGTTTCTGCAGCCAGTGGCGCAGGCGGGAGGGACACAGATGGCGTCATGTCACTCTTCCAAACGCACTTCCATAGACCAGGTAGCCATTAACAGGAAGGCTGCTCCTTCAGAGAAGCCTGGTATGATGCTCAAATTCATACCAGTGGACCTAAAGGAAGAGTCCCACCAGGATGCCAGTTTGCCTCCTCCCTGGCCTACAGGATGTTCGCCCATGCAGGACGGTATGAAGTCTTCTTCCAGACAAGACTCCTTATTCATAAAATACTATACACAAACCAGTCCTATGATGGAGCCCCTGTGCAATCACAGAGTCAGGCTGATCATATATATCACACATGTGCTGTCTATAAGCATTTGCATACCATTCTAGTTTGCAGATATTTGAATGATACTTTGATCATCATTTATTTTCCTTTGAAGTGCCCACGATCTCAGAAAGGATTCACGAAACACCATGAAGTTTCATTCTGGATATTGGCTAGGAAGAGAAAAGCAAATATCAATATATTTACAAAACACCTGACTTTTTCATATTTTTTACCTAATCAGAAGCTGCTAAACAAGAAGTTTCCAGAAGTCTCCAAAACATTAAGTCAACTTAATGTGACTAAGCACCCTTACTTTGATATTTATCTCAATTTCAAAATACTTCAATCATTTAGTTACCTGATAAGTAACCCAGCTATGAAACCCTGCCACACTGTGTAACTGCTCTTTGCTGAAAATTACACCACACTTTACTAATCCCTTGCGGGGGCAGGGCGGGGGAAGAAAAAAAAGAAAGAAACCTCCTTTAACTAAAGCCTGGAATGACTCGCAGCCAAATAGATGACGCTTAAACAAGTATGCGTAAGTACAGTACACTTCACAGTTCATCATGGTATTAGTCATAGTTAAAAAGCATGTATTTCAAACTAGCATTTAATACGTATGTTCACTACACATCTCCAGGATTAATTTTCTCAAACACAAATTTCCCTATTCAGTTTGCAGCATCATGTTTTCCACAGTCTCTTGAAATTAAACAGCATCCTGTGCAAACTCTATACCTCCCAAATACAAGCTAGGTTTGTGAGTCAGCTCCACACACTTTAATACTATTGAAGCAAGAAAAGTATGGCACTTCAAAGGCTGTCACTTAGAAGAAATCTGACAGTAAACCCATCTAAAATAATTTTTCTAGATACTACATATAGTGAAAGCAATATGTAGTATCCCAGACTGATTGAGCTGAGTATGTTTCAACATCGGACAGAGTTCCGAACTGCAGGGTATCAAGTATTTGTTGAATACAAATATTTTATTTCCACAATATTCAAACATATGTCTCTTCAACATGACAATCGTAGAAAGCAGCTTATCAACAACACTGAAATATTATTAAAACATGTATTGCTGGTACTGTAGTACCTTATGTGAATGCAGGTTATATTCACACTACACTCCATATAAACATCATGGATAAGATAATTCTTGCCCCCAAAGAGATACAACCAATATATTTCAGCTTTTAGGATATACTCTCAAAACTTTACGTTATTCTTTATTTCTGTTGATATACATTGTCTCTGTCTCATTGCAAGATTTCAGCTTTCAAATGCCTGAACTTACTACTGAATGCTGAATACGTTGTCCTTGCTGCTATGTTACAGCACATTACTTTTAGAAGTAGATTCATGGTATGATTAAGAGAACAGAGTACGGTTTTCCATTCTTATTCTCCAGTATATACTCAAAATTCCCTCCCTGAACATGCTGGGCAGCTAGTAATATATGTGAAAAGCAAACATGAAAGGTAAAGGAGCAACAACTAGTCAGACTTTTAAAAGCACAACAGTAGTTTCAGAAGTACTTTTTAAATACGCAATTCAGTCTGCTTACTGGCATGTTTTAGATACCTACAGTCATGCTTTTATACTTTTATAGACTACACATACCTTCTGTAAGCTTATATATTTAGAACAGTGCAAACTTACTTTCTTTTGCAAGTGAAGTTTTCAAATTACTAAACCAGTACAGCAGATTTGGTTTGCAAAGGTTCCTACTGCTTGCTATTGGGAGAAACAGAGAGCTGCTGTTGTTTGTCTTCTTTCTTTTGCTGAACAATTTAAACACGATTTTCACAATCTAGTGTCTTTTTCATACATAACTCCTAAGGACAACAGTCAGTTATTCAGAATATGTAGCTACTCTGTCAGCTGCTTCTTTATCGAAACAATCTAATAATGTTTTATACAGACAAATTTTACATGAATTGAACTGTTCTGGACCAAGTAAGCTATGCAATAAAATAAAAGCTATGCTTTACAGGTAGGGCAAAGCAGAGGACTGACAGAGCACCCTGTTATTAAACATGACACCAACTATAATTGTTTTATAGTATCACATGTAGCCATGCACTGGGGAAGTCTTTCTGTGACCCAGATCATACAAAAATAGCTAAGAAATTTTCAGATAGTTAGATGGTCCTTTTGTATTTCAGGTGGCAATATGTTTTATGATAGTAGCACTGACACATTAGGATTTTTCCACAGGTGACAGTTTTGGTGCAATATAAAGATGCTGTACTTGGGCCTAGCAGTGAAACCTCCACATTGATGGCGATGAGCAAAGGGGTGTGTTGTCTAACACATTTCATATGAATAAGGGAATTTATTACAGCAAAAATCAAAACACGCCATGGAAGCCCAAATTCCATATGAATGATCAGGAGTGATTCATTTTCAAGCCAGAGGTGTCTGCAGACACCTTACACAGTATGATTTAAACCGCACTTACAGGAACTTGCACAACATTTTTCCCCTCTGTTGCTGACCTCCATGCTCCCTTTTGAACATACTACACTAAAAAACATAAAGTTTTTCATTGGCCCTTTCTCTTTTAGCTCTGCAAGCATGTTCGGCATCATTTCTTCTTCAATTAGGGATTCATTTTCAGGGACACGTTTTTTTCCCTTTGAAGGGAAAAAGCAGAGGGGAAATATTAGGGGGAAATCGAAGGCATGGACTACAGCTTTTTTCAGGAGTTCTGTCTCTGAGACCTCAAAAAAAAATACAGGAAAGGGACAAGATAACTTTCTACTTCCCAAAGGCAGTAGCTTTGTCTTTAGCCAGTAAAAGTAAGCAACAGAGAAAGCAAAATGTAACCAAATCATAGACTACAACATCTAATTATTCTCTTTCCAGGTGCTTTTCTTATTCCCTATACCCTCTTCTTAATCATTGCTGGAATGCCCCTGTTCTATATGGAATTAGCACTGGGACAATATAACCGAGAAGGGGCTGCCACTGTGTGGAAAATCTGTCCAGTTTTCAAAGGTAAGTGTCCCTCTACTCACTTGAATAGCACCATGAGGGTGCCACAGACTTGTGATCACAAACAAAGTAAAGGTCTCTCATCTTTCCACAGACAGCATGATATTTGCTGACCTTTCCCCAACCCTTGAAGTCAGAAGTCTTTTGATTATCACAGGGGGAGCACAAAATGGGAAAAGCCACGGCAATATTCTTCAGGGTGATTGCTGAGGAGTGCAACAGAGAGCAATGAGCAGGAGTAGTTCATCCCTGTCCTCCTTTTCCCCTGCGCACTGGGGAGTGGGAGGAACTGGGTATCTCTAAGTGGAGGGAGGAGTTGGCAATGCAAACATTCGGAAATACCAGATCCCATCATCCAGGTCAGTTCAACCCTGTCTCCCCCAGTGAGCAAGATAACCACTGACTCCATTCAGTTCATTGTGTGGAGCTTTCCCTGCAGAAGTCAGCATACCACAGTGGCTAGAACACTAAAATGGAGTTGTGAAGACCGTAGGTCAGCCACTAGACTTGCAACATCACACAAGTTATCTGTGGCTTTGTACCTCAATTTTCCTGCCTATGAAATTGAAGCAATGATTCTGATAGACTTTGTAAAGTGATTTTCAAATCTAGCAATGAAAAGCAATTCTCAAAACCCAAACATTATCATTACTATTGAGTGTTTTCCATTAGGGTTCACTCTCCAGCATCAGTGAATAAAAGGCTGTGGAGTGTTGTCCTGTACACTACGTTGCAATCATTCTGCAGGGAAGAATGCAAAGTTAGGTGTTTGGATATCAACCAGTGTGTCTGGCACTGGTCAGGGATAAAGGGATCTCCCTGAGTGAAAGAAGCCATATGTTTTCTGTACATGGAACAAATATTTGTTAAGGAGCCTCAAGAATTTTCTTTAGCATTGCTTGCCAACAAAAATTGGAAGTTTCCTTATACCTATACCAGATTGTATCTAAAATATTGTGTAAAAGCCTTTGCAACACAGAGCTATCTGAAATGAAATCCAGTCAAGCTCAGATGATCTTAGAAGCTTAAAATTCAGATCATGTTCATCCTGTGATTGACAAAAGCTGAGGAGCTTAACAATAGCAATCCAAACTTGGCAGATCCGGTGCTTGGATATAGGTTACACTGAGTAAATGTTAGTCTTCTTTCTCAAAATACAGCTTTCCTCATCAAGGAGTCTAGTGCCACAGAATAGGAAGAGTATAGGGTTTTTTGTTATCAGTCAAACCCAAAACTTACAGCAAAATTAGAGATACAATAAAAAATAAGCAAGCAAGCTAATAAAATATGTGCTGCCAAATTTTAAAATTAATTCATACAGATTTACCTAGCCCTTCTATAATCCCTTCATGGGAGACAAAATTCATCCCAGCACCCAGGAACCTGAAAGATTCTTGCTCAATCAGAATTCCCGACGGTATCAGTTAATACCTTTGGATGGCAATGAGGATTTTGAAAACCTAACTGCAAAAATTAGACCTTAAGGATCTCAAAGTGTGTGAGCCAAATACCACTGTGCTCAGAGGTACTCTATCTGTTGACTTCAGGATTGAAAAGATGATGAGAAAGGAAAATAGAACTTATTTCATGTATAGTCTTGTTGACATTCCAGCTGTGTTTTTAAGCTGACATTTTCAAGGTGGACTAAACATACATCACTGTTGATTTTTAAGTGTTCTTACTACTAGGATATAGAATAGCATAAGTTATTTGATTCTCAAAAAGTAATAAGCATCGAGTTGTATTTGTACCTCAGCACTAGTATAAACTCAGTACTTTTAAAGTTTTGACCAAATCTTCTGATAATGTACAAACACATTTTACTGCTAATGCTTTTGAGTTGTTTCTGGGATAACTCAAACATCTCAGATGAAAAGTACACAGTCTACACAAATTTATAACAGCTTCTCTAAATGAACAGCACTATAGTACTAATTTTAGCTATGAATATTATTGCTGTGAACTCTAGGGACTCAATTCTAATGATACACCCTCATAACGCATGCAATTAAAAATACACCTTCTAACTTTTCCAACACAGTCTGTTTTCATCTCTGTGTTTTCCAGGGTCTACTTTAGAGTGTGGGTGGTGCAGTATTACTTTTAAGAAAAGCTAGACCTAGAAACAGGAGAGCAAATTCATTCCTGAATATTCTTATGATTTCAGAGGAGTGACATTTAAGATACAGTTGATCCACTGTTTTTTAATCTCGATCTTAACTATCTATCATTGTCCTCCTGAATTCAAGGAATTTCAGGAACACTTTTTTTTAAACAAAAATCATTCAATTTCAGTGCAACATATATTATTTGTACTTAGTATTTTAACATTCACACTAATATTTAAGATTTATCCCCTTGGGTGATTCCCCCCCTCCGTTCCAGTCTACTGATCATAAGTACTCAAACTAGAGTTTGAGTGTTAAGGTACTGGATTCATTTAAGTACCAAGGATTTGAAGATACAGTTTCATCTTTACTTTCACAGTCTTCTCCCCGATGTTAGGGATGGGCAAACTGGCCTATGTATTAAAAGCCTCCTGAAGAGCAAAGAGTACCGTTGGTCTATGCAGCAGTCTTTGAACTACCAATTGCTTCAGAGTCAGCATCTGTTCCTTATGCAAATTTTAAACCAAGGATTAACACTTGAAGTATGTGCTACTTCCTTGCTTTATCAAGAAATATGAAAGTCTAATAATCTCCAACTGCTAGGCCTCCAGTGCAGCATCTCCAAAAAACTAAACTGAAGAAAATCACAAGTAAAGGTTTACACTTAGGTGCTGTGACAGTACAGTGATGATAGTCATAAACTAGCTGTAGTCTCTACCTGTTGTAGGCAATACAGACAACTTTGGGGTAGAATTCAGAGAACAATGCTGCGCCCACAGTAAAGGAAGAATGATATAAGCCAAAGTAAAGCAAGCTTCCTGAACAATCCTGGCAACAAACTTTTGTTCTGCTCTGACATCAGTACCAAAGCTTTCTCCCAAACCATTGAAAAAATGTCCACTTTCATGAGAAGAACATGCCCTCTCTAGGGCTCTCTCACTAAAAGGACCCTCCAAGCACACTTCACAGTATGCAAAAATACAAAACAAATGTTCAAAAGTCAAAAAAGAATGCTTGCAAGTGGGGATTCTGTAATCCTGGGGAGATAATAAAATGGTTTGAAGGTCCACACACAGTTTAGCCCCAAGCTTGATATTCACGAAGATTTACTGGCATGACCAAAAACCACTTGGAGACTCTCAGTAGAACAGCACAGACTGTTTCATGCATGTTTTGGACCTAGTTACACGCTAACGGAAGCCAATCTGGAGAGTAACAATGGTAAAGAAACAGGAGAGGAATCGGTGTCTGTTCCAAGTAGCTCAGGGTGGGAATGTGAGGCACAGGGAAACTTCACGTAAGTCTCAAGCTTTACTTTTCCAAAAAAAGTTTCCAAGGACTCTGACATTATGAAGTAAGTTCCAGTACTAACATGGGCTTGCAATCTTCTGCATTGAAAGCAAACCAGCAATAGAGCTGTACAAGAGCAAAGTTTGACATTGCACTGCTTAATTTCTTTTTCTGGCAAACAACTGGATTTGCTATAAGCCAGTCATTTTCCAAAATCATTAATGCAATTTTCTGCTTTAATGTCAGTATGTGTGTATGTAAACATAAAAAATTCGTTTTAATGGTCTGAAGATCTAAAATGAATTTGCAACCACGTATGGCTGAGTAACTACAGTGTTTGCATATACTGTTGCATGTAAAATGCAATGTATAATCTAGTTTTCATTTGTCTTTAGGTGTAGGCTATGCAGTGATACTCATAGCTCTTTACGTGGGTTTCTACTACAACGTTATCATAGCTTGGTCTCTGTATTATCTATTTTCATCATTCACATTTGAGCTTCCCTGGACAAACTGCGACAACAGTTGGAACAGCCCAAACTGTACAGATCCCAAACTCTTCAATGCATCAGTGCTTGGCAATGGTACCAAATACTCGAAATACAAGCTCACTCCTGCAGCTGAATTTTATGAGTAAGTGTTGACTTCACTTTGCTATTTATTCAAAATTCTATGTCTAAGAGTGTTTTCCTCTGGAAGGCAAAACAGCTTAGCATCCAGCCTCCAGAATAAGCATCAGAAGACTAAGGTTAAAATGCAGTTGTAATGTTGATCTGTGTTCCTGTGTGATTCAGACTCTTGCCTCTGCAAGCTTTGATTTCTCCTGTGCAAATGCAATATTTGCCACTGAGCACAATGGAATTGGACAAAAGCACAAATCGTCCCTGATGCACCACTTTTGGTTGGACCAATTTTGCCAGGGCAAGGAAACGCAGCAGTATTCTGACAACGACGACTGCATGCCAAACTGAGCTGACTTTAAGGCTTTAAAATAATCCTTTGTTCAACAGGCTTGGCCTGTTCCTCTACTTGCAAAATATCTCAGAGCAGACCTCTGTTTGCTCAGCTGCTTCAGTAGTTCAATGAAGTGAGATGAAGCACTGAGCAAGAGGAGAACACCACAGTTATAGGAAGACAGGCTTTTTCTAATTCCCAAGCAAAAGAGCATTCTGCAATATGGGCCAAGAAAGGCAAAGACGCACTCAATCCAAACACTTGAAATCAAAACCAAAAAGGTATATAAATTAACAACTGAACTATAAAACAAAGATATCGATCTGTGTATAAATAATTGCATTATAGACCTCCAGGGGAAAACAGGATTTGATTAGGATAAAGAAAGGAGGATGGGCATCGGGCTAATTGAATAGCTGTTGAATTAACCTGAATAATCAGTTCCAGTGTTGGGAATAGAAGGATATCAGGGCACACACCTGCAGAGCAGTGAGTCCAACCCTGTAGAAACAAAGGGACACCACTGCTACCATAAATAATCTAGTGCGTGTTACACCATGCCTGGCTACAGTAGGGATCTTGAGGTCTGTGTTTATAGCTCTGAAACATTTGTGGCTGCTATTTCTCCTCTGAAGACAGCACAGTGAAAGACCAGTAGCGATAGGCAAACTGTTGGCAGGGGTTTGGGTAAATTAAACTCAGTGCTCTGAAAACAATAAGGGGGTTGAGTTCAAAGGAACTCACTACAATGGCAAATAATGACAGCTAGGAATTCCGCTGCCCTTACAAAGCCAAAATGTGATGTGTTCAGAAGTCAAACGTAAAGGTAGGTCATCTACAGCAAAAGGCTATATACGCATGTAGTCAGTTAAAGAACCTGAGTTTGATGTGAACTATAACAAATTATACATTCAGCATCTTCAGACAAAGAACTGCATTATTACAGAACTTTCATCTGAACAGTATTTTAAAAAAAAAGGTTTTCTTTATAATTTGCTTGTGTTTAAGGCTTTGTAAAGCAAAATGCAATCCCTATAGTCTTGGGGTTGTCCCTTTATGATTTAAAGTGGTTCTATGCATTTTGTTATCACATCACACTTGGGGTATGATTTTGACTTTGTAGTGGGTGATGTTGTGGTAGAGTCTATTCACAATGTTTTGATTTAGTTCCAATGATCTGGGGAACAGCTCAATTTGTGATTCTGTCTGTACGCTGAACTTGAAATATTAGCGTTCTTTCCTCACCATGAAATAGATTCAAGGTGCAGTTTTCAGAAGGTAAGAATAAAAAGGGAATTTGACATTTCATCACACTTTGATCCCTGAATTTTGGGGCTTTAATTAAGTCCCTAGGCCCTGTACTTATTAGCAACTAGATTATATTGCAAAAATGAGAAGAGTAACCACTCAAGTAACACAGTCTGTAACATCTGCTTCCCCAGCTGTAAAAACAGGGAACCACAAGGGGCATTATGTTCACTTATCCAGTATTTGGATTAGCTCATCAAGTCCAGCTGTACAGCTCAGGTGTGGACCCAAATATGTGCAAAGTTTTAGTGTATTCAGATTCAACCTAATAAAGACAGCCCAATTCAGAAAACAGTGTTTCTTCTCTTTATGTCAAACAACCTAACTGATTCCCATGGTCTTTTTACAACAAGGAGAGCTGAATCTTCTGATTATAAAGTTTTGTAATATGTACAAGATTGTCAGGAAATAGAAGTGATGACGTACTGTTAAATACAGGAGATCATCCAGTTTGGAGTATCTGGGGCCATGTTTTCAACCACAGTAACTAGTGTAATAAGAACTTGCTGCTCTGTGTTACTGGGATGCACTGCAGCTTATGGAAGACTTGTTAAGGATGCTAAATGTGCCCAAGCACGTAAGTCCTTAGTCTCAAGATTACATGGGAAGTGGTACAGATTGGACTTGGTTCTTTAGGTTCTATATTTACATCAAGAACATATGCAAACTTTTGCCGTCTGGTAGGCAGGCTGTACTGGAAGCAGGGAGACCAGAAACACCAAACATCTATTTTGCAGTTGGAGAATGACTGAAAAGAGGTACTTCCCAAACATGCCACAAGCAGAAAACTGTTGTGGTTACCCTTAAGAGAAATAGACTCTTCTTCTCTTTGGAACATGATTCCTTCATGCAAACCTGGCCTGACCATGAATTTAGAGTGGATTATTTCTTAAAACCATGCAGCTGCCAGAGGTGATTGACTGCATCTCCACTAGCACAAGAATAAACTGTAGGAAGAGGTGAGAGTGCTGTGATGTGATAGTTCATCAAATACTTCAAGAAAGGCACCTCTAAGTTCAACAGAAATACGCTGATTCTCACCACTTACATTAAGTGAAAGCAAGAGAAACTTGCTAAGAATCCAGGCCAAATCTTTCGTCTGACCATTATCTGGCAGGGAGGGAAAGCAGGGAGAAACCTCCAAGCCTCAGTCTTGGAAGAAATCACTTCAAATTGCAATTTTCATGCCAGGGCAGTGACAGGCGGACTTTGACAAACATATTTGGCTTTTGTTTTCAAGCCTTAAGGGTTGGGCAATAATTGAGGTTGAAGTGGTTCTACACTTACGCTTTCTAGAGTGTTTCATTTTACTAGGTCTGGTTTCAGTCGTTCAGGCTTAATTCAGGCCAAGATGCCACTGATGTCAGCAGGGCAGTTGCTTGCAACAGGAAGAAATGGGACATCTCCAATATTTCATTAGAGATGGTTAAAATCAATTATAAAGTATTTTTTCACTGCAAACTTAGAAAGCAACCACTCAAAAATCTGGTAAGAACTGGTGCCCTTCTGCCAGTAATAGTCGTAAGAGAAATCCAGTTAGGAATAAAACGTCAATTCCACATTTCTTTGGAGGTACATGTTACTTTAATTACTTCCCTCTTCCGTGGTTTGGAATTAAACACACAAAATGCAAAGGACCTTCTATCCTTTCAACATATGTTAAAATAATTAATTGTAAACATTTTGTTTGGAAGAACACAAGTACAGCACTGTAAAAAATAGTTCCCCTATCCATATCACTCCTATTTAAATACTTTCTCTGAATACAGGCATACTTTATATTTGTTCTCTCCATTCTTGTGTCTGGGAAAAGTTCGTTCCCATCTTGCTTTCATTTACGCTGACAATTAAAAAATACCAGTTTGGAGGAACAAAAGCACTATTCTTCTCACGAGGTACTGCGCCTGTGAAAAATCATGCTCTGTTGTAGGAACAACTCCCTGGCAATTTTTTAAACAAAACAGTGAAACTGTCAACAAATGTATTGAGCTACAGCTATTTTCCTCTGATAGTACTTTTTCTGAGGGCTGTAATCCATTCTTTCTGCATAAGAAATAAAACGCTTTTTAACAGGGAAATTTTTGTGCCAGATTCAGTAAAAGAAATTCACAGAAACCACAAGTCTGCCCAGCTGCAAGTAATTGAAAAAAGCTACCTAAGAACAAGGAATAAAGACAACATTCAGTCAAGGCAGTCCATGTCTATCATACTGATGAACAGAAATTTAGAGGGACTATGTGAACCAAGAACATTCTGAAAAAAACCTTCACCCTATGCAGCAAAAGTTACTTTTACTTGTTTTCAGTATCACATCAGATGGAACGATCAACACTATGTGCTCCAAAGGAAGATGCAGGAACCTATCCCCATAAAACAATCAATCATGAGGTAACCTCTCCCAAATGAGAGAAAACACCAAAAGTAAGCATAAGCAATTATGCCTATGAACGCTTATAAAAACTGAATCAGACAACAAGAACTAAGGAGAGCGGACAGCCCTATATTCTGCTGATCACATCTGGTAAGAAAAGACTCTAAGCTCAGGCTAAACATGATCAGCAGTTCTCAACAATACACCACTTTCCTGAACAGCAAACCTCCACTGAATATGTCTGAAGCTTCTTTAAGAGGTTTCTTCACACAACATCCTCTATGAACTAATTATAGAGTTTGTGAGCACTGACTTACTCATCTTTTGCATCTTCTTAATTGGAAGGGAATGTTTCTGACAGGTTTGAAGTTGGGTAGCAGTCATCTGTTTACCTTCATAGAAATCACACAATCAAAGACTAACAATAATTCCAGCCAGGTTCTGTACCTTCACCCCTAGAAAATCCCCTGAATGTAACAGAAGAATTCCTCTAATTTCAGTGGCCTTAGAATCAGGCACATTATTAAATACTCTATGTGGGAAATTTATGGCCATGTTGCTGAAACAGCAATAAGCAAGCTGCTTTAGATATCAATTCTGTATTAACTGCACAGGCATGTTTAGGCAGTGTTTGGGTGCGTTGTTTACACATCCATAGTCAGACTAACATTTGCATCCCTACACATTGTATATATGCACTTTTTGACTGTGTTGACTTTTTTGGACTCAGCTAAGTACCTCAATCTTTCTTTCTCTTTTTCACATCTTTGCATTCATTGACCATTTACTTACACAAAAAGAACAGAAATTAAATGCAAGTACAGTGGAAGCCAATCCGTGTAAGTGTGTACACATGTTCTTAGGCTTTGGACAGAGTTATGGCAATGATTCCTAAACCACAACACGCCCTTGTGTAGCAAGTCCAGAAGACTGGAAGAATGACCACTTTGCCAACTTAACTTTGCAAGGGGGTTTTATGAGATATTGCAAACGTCAGGAG